AAATAACTGGGATACTAGTGCTCATGTAAACATAGTCAATTTAATGTCTTCTGAAGTCATGGAGACACCACTGTGTGTGTGTTTCAGAGCAAGAGAAGACCAACACTAAGAGGGACTGAGACTCCTGGTACGAACCCAGGTTGTCCATCATGGTTGGACTGACTATAGAAGTGGTTGCTCCTGACAGCTCTACAGTCTTTTTTTCCAGTCTATTTGAGATGAAGAGGGATCACAGGGGGTGTTAGCCTGCCTGGTAGCTAATGGTGGCAGAAGCCAGAGTTATCATCAGTGAAAGACTCATCCATCTTCTCGCCACTCCGGTGACGAAAAGCAAACACGAGGAACAAGACGGCCATACAGCATCCAGCTCTCACTCTCCTGGCCGAACACACCTAACAGAGATAACGAGACGCTTAAGAGGCAGGGGGATGCCTGGGAGTTACCCACAGGGCTGAAATGTAAATAAATCCTGCTTGTTGAATACAAATAGCTAAGAGCAGAACTTCACTGGCCATGGGTGGTAAAAAGAGGTGCCAGTTAATGCTACAAATATGTATGAATAGATATTTCTCAAGTTGTGAAATTAATCATTCTGTAAATTATCACATAACCACAACACAGTAATCAAACTAGCCCACGTTTCTTTAATTTGTCATGAAATTTCATGGCTATCACAGCTCCATGAATGCATCTATTGTGGTTGTACATGTCACCACACAGTATATCATGTGCAATGAAAGATTTTATTTGAGTTCGCTTGACATTCCGGAGGTCTGTCTCTGTGTGAGGTCTGGAAGATTCACCACTACGCTCCCTGTGATTGGTTCTGACCTTGATATTCTTCTGAAAAAATCGTGTGTGTGTGTGTGTGAAAGTGCATTCTATACTCATGATCTTGAAACATACTGGCAATCCATAAAGGTACTTAGACTAAATGGAGCGTCTCTGTGAATGTAAGAGGCAATGGTTGTTTCACTCTGTGTGTCGAACTCTGCTAATTTTGCTCATACTTTTGCATCTATTACTATATCTATCTATATAACTGTCAACTCATATATTGTAAATCCAAAGCATTGTTTGAATATATGTCTAACGCTTCTCTGTGAATGCATAATGAGTTTCAAGGCATGTTTGCTCTCCTCTTAAGTTATAAATGTGGAGTGATAATCTTCTTTTGGCCATTTTAGTCTATTATACTGCACAGCAAGTTTGAAACATTAAAACATTATAAAATAAACCATTTCACAGCCTCCTGGGTAAGTGATGGCCTCAAGAAAAAAAGGAGGTCATTCAATAGCTGCAGTTAAGTGCCTGAGGTTGTCCTCCATGCCTTCCAGCCACAGACAGATTCTCTCATAGAGGAACGTGCCACTCTCTTAGCAGTGGTTGTCCACGCATCAGGACCCACTGCAGCGATTCTGAGAGGAGATGATGATTTAATCACCGGCTTTCTGCTGAGTCAACCACAGGGGAGGAACACTGACGTCTAGACCAATGTGAATGGGAATAAGTACGATATATATTCCACCAGGGATTGTTCTAATTGTTCTGCTCGGTGTAGAAGAGCCTGAAGATGGACACCATGACTATTTACACAAAGTGAACCCAATGTGTATCTTGATCTGCAGTATACTTCATAAATCCTCCTCAATGTTAGTGGATGGGACATGGGCCAAACTTAATGCGTGCTTAAACATGTAAAATAAAGTTTTATCAAATGTTTTTGTCATTTAAGGTAGTTCTTATTACAATTTTTGCCCAAGTTTGGTTTTAATGAGTTATTCTCTGATTCAAAAATAGGGTGAAGACTGCTGAGACTGACTTGCAATTGATCAAGTGTGTGTATCAGCACAACATTGCTACCGTAGCTCGATTCCCCACGTCGCTACTGCAACAGACTCTGGCTCCAAATGCTGAAGATAGCATGTTTGTATTGTATCCAGGATACTGGCTTCATTTCTGGTCTAAATTCATCCAAAGCACTCACGAAGGGATGAAATAAATGAATAGCTCCAGCAAACAACCCTTTTAAGTATTCAGCCTCTGCCATCAATGGAAAATAAAATTTCTCTAAGCGTTATTCATGGGCTGTAATGCGATATCATCTGAGGTCATTTTTTTCCCTTCTTTTTTCTAACCAGGCATTTCCCGATGCCATTGTTGTTGTTGCTATTTTTAGCAGCACAGCGAGGGAGAGGACACACGTGCCACTCACGGACAGGCATACAGGGCCTCTGTTTAATGAGCCACAGTCACAACAGGCCAGTGTGCTGCTGCCGCACAGAAGACTCTGTGTCCCACTGACACTGTTACCACACAGGGCAGCAGGTCACCAGCAACAAGCACAGCGAACCACTGGGGAAGTCCTGCCTGTGACTGCTGCCAATACACAGACTGTGTATCCAGCATAGTGAAGGTGCAACAAGCTGCACACGTTCTGCACTATATGACCTGAATAAAACTACATTTGGTTTCCACCCTGCCACTGTTGTTGAGGAACAACTATTTTTAGCCTGGTGCTGAGACTTGTGTTATTTAACACTTTTCTGAATCCATTGTCGATTCTGCTCTTCTGCGCGATCCAAGGCTGAATTCCCAAACTGGAAAACACCTCCAGGGCAGCTAGCTCTGTGTGACAATTACATTGTAGTAATCTGATTATTTAACTGTTTATTTGGTAATCTGCACTACTGAAACCGTAAGGGCCCTGAGGTTGCTCTTTAATTTTTTGGGGAGCTCCTTTGGGGACCAGAGCTAATTTTTCCCCTGGGCTAATTTTTTGCTGGAGTCAGTCAGTCCCTGTAGAGGGCATGACGCATGAATACTATTGCATTAGAATAGGTGTTGCTTGAATTCTAATCAGATTGGTTACTTGTCTCTATTACAAAAATGGAACTTAATTTCTTGTACCACTTGGGGCCACAAATCTATGACTCAACAAAAAAAAACTGACAGGGCTCGGGCAATGTTTGCCAAACTCCTTTTTTCATAATTATTTGACAGTGGTATCCAAACACTATGTTTTATGAACTGATTTCTGGTTAGCTCCAGTCGGGTTCTGCAGTTTTGAATCACTGCTCATATTCAATTGGTTTGGCCACTGAGACAGTGTCTGCTTCATCAAATGGTTGGATAAACTTTTGACCAGTATAAATCTTTTAAGAATTGTAATATCATTTCCTTAAATGAGTCTTACTCTGCATTTATGCAAAACAGCAACAGTAAAAATGACAACCGACAAAACAGCTCCCAACCTCCCTTTACAACAAGAACAAGAAATAAAAGAGACAATGGATATGTCTTTTAATGACCCATCTGAGCCATGAGATTTGTTTTATCTCTCTTTTCCATTGTGAATAATAAATATGTATCATAGTTTTAAGTATGACGGACTGCTTATTTGATATGCTCCTCAGCCACATTTATTCTGATAGTTATTTTACTTTTTCAGAAATATCCCTTGGTGTTAGTGACCCCTCCTCATATAGGCCCGCAAAAACACTGGCATTTTTTATTTGCGCACATCCTACCTGGTTTCACCAGGTAGAATATGTGACTGTTTACGTGTGGCTCATACATAAGTTTGACTGATTCACTTTTATTTTTTAATACCAATAATTGCATGTCAGCTATTTCAAAAGGCCTGAACAAGAAAGGCAATCTTCAAACCGAAATTCACAATTTATTAGATTAAAAGCTCTGTAATTCAGCTCAAAAGACAGGGAAAAGGTTAAGCTTACACTTTTTCGATAAATTCAGTTTCATACTACAAAAATGGAATCATCAAAATTACCTGGCGGGCCAGATATTATTGCTGGCAGGCCATTTTTGCTTCACGGGCCACCAGTTGCCAGGCATTGTGCTAAATGGGCAAGTATAACTGCTGAGCCTGCTTTTTTCTCATGACCACTGATGTGTCCTTGAGCAAGGCTTTAAGGGCCAGTGCACCAGTGGAACAGCTCAATGACCAGCTGATCAGATTGTTGGTGATCTGGGCATGTTCCAGCAAAGTCAGCCATATGTATATGAACGCAGTGTTGTCTGCATGGAAAATGGTCTTGAATTTTTTAATATATATATATTTAGTGCCACAGTCATTGCTGTAGTAAAATTTAAAATGTATCCTTATTGATTTTGTCTCTTACATGCAGAAATCCTAGACTATTAAACCCCCCACCCCACCCCCGGATACAGACAATCATGCTAATAGCCACATGATTAATAAAGTATATTTTCTGTACGGGGAGGTGTTTCCGTGAAAAGCCATGAGGCCCTAAAATGTTACAACCCGGTTTTTAGTAGCTTACACCAATTTTCCAGCCGTGTCTGCAGTCTAAAAATGGTTCTCCCACTCTCCTGCACACCTCTGAAATAGTGGTTGTGCCGTAAAAATGTCCCCTTATCTTTCCTGTGCGTGTAAATCCTGGCTTGTCCGATCCAACCACATTAACCCAAACAGTGGAAGGCTGTGGTGAGACAGTAAGGATGGGAAGTGGCGGGGGTGGTGAAAGAAAACAAGAGGGAGGTAAAATCCCATCATAGGCAAAAAAGAAAATTTAATAAAAATAGAAAAATGAAATGCACATTTTGCTATTTTTTATAAATATCAAGAAACACGTGCGGGTGCAGAGGGTTGCTACTCTGAACATATTTTGCAGGAAAAGGGCTGTTTTTAAGCTTTGACCGTTTTCAGAATGAGTTTACCATCTTTAAGACTGGATTAAAAATCTGGACGCCAGACACCAGTCTGCTACAAGTCAGGTTTTATGAATAACACATGAGACAAAGCCTGATACCCAGCTGAGCTATTGACGCTGGAGTTCTATAGACTGAAAATAAACCAAGGAATAGTTACACTTGTGGTGTAAGTGTATTAATGCTCGGGGTGGGATATGAGAGAAAGTAAATGGGCTATGAAACAGGTAAAGAGAGACAAGGAAGAAATCCCTCAGCCTACGTGGTTAAAAAAAATGGATGTGTGAAAGATATATGGACTCTACCTTCACCACTTGATGACGTTAGTGTTGATGATGGTGATGGCTGCGGTGATGCTGACGTCTTACTCCCCTGGGAGTCCTTCGCGTGCCGGGACAGGGAAAGGTGAACTGACTTCTCACCGGCTGGTGCACCTCAGCCTATGACATCAGGAGTGAGAACATTGGTTTTTACTCATCGCCTCAGAAGCATTCTTACCGACCACTAACTCCCCCCTTTGCTATCCACACTTTTATTGTAGCCATTGAACGTTTTCCACTTGCTTTGCTCCCTTTGCAGAAGGCACAGCTCTTTTGACTCATGCACGTTTGATGAGAAAAAAGTAGCAACCACCCCTTTGAGATAAAGAAAATCCCAGTATTCTGTTTCGATAACGAGGTTCTGTGAGCTTTCCTGAGACAAAGGTCAGATTCAGACTCTCTCTATGCTTATTAATCAGCTGACTGTGGGCGTTTCAAACGACAGATTCTGCCACAGTCTCTTCCTGACAATCATGCGGCTGATGTCAAACTTTAAATCCTTTCTTCTCTCTTCCACAGTCAGCTGTCATTCAGTGACGCATGTTACTGACCTCCACCCCAATCTCCTACAGCCTTTAGCAGAATTATCATCATCACCTTATCTGGATCACCAATCACCACCAGTGTCTACACCCGGGATTCCTATCCTACGTTCTGCTCCACCCCCTTCTACACCTCATGACATCACATACCAGGCAAACACCCAACATTTGTTTTTCACTGAGGGCTCTATTTCAGAGTTAATATGAGTTTTAAACCCAGATTAAAGCGCAAAGTTAAGAGGACATGTAGATGGTAACAGCCTTAGACAGGCCACATGATAGCACCTTTTTGTTTCATGATGTTTTCACTCATCACTACTCACCATCTACACTGCTGTAACTGGAGATGTTTTTTAACATATGTTATACATTTATTGACATTACGCCCCCCAAAATAATTTGTGTGAATTCTAGAGGTAATGGACTCATTTCCTTCCTTACAAAAAGTTTGGAAAGCAGTTTTAATATAATAGGAATATATTTATACACATTTTGAAACATGCATTTTCTATATTAATGTTTGTTTGCTATGTAATTTTACAGATTTTTTACATCTTGTTGCACTGGGGATTTGTTCCTGGCGCTAGCTAGCTAGCAATGGGTATTCCAGAATTTCACCGTGAATCTTTTTCATTTTTTTATTGCCTCCACCTAAAAGCGTGTCCTGAAATTGAGTGCTTTCACTCAGTCATTGTCACAGTTGTTTGTTTGTTTTCATCTGTTTTTAATTTCATATTGTGTAGCTTTTTACCAGAAGCTCCAGTTTGGTCACCCTCTTGCTGAAATCTGGATTACATTAACAACAGCTGCACAGTGATCTGTGTGGGTATATGCGACCTTGTGGTGGTTAGAAGAGCCATTGGAATGTGGACTTAATAATAACAGGCCTTGTGCTATTTGTAATCTTCAAATAATTTTGTGTAGTAAAATCTATTCAATTAACTAAACTGTGAATTGACACATTGATCTTATTTTAAGAAATTCCTAAAGAAACGTATTGCCAAGAAAAAGGTGACTATGCATAACTATTTGTCTTTTTGTAACTATTATGTTTACTCCATATCTACTAACTAATTTCACTAAACTAAGTTGTAATTTTGCCAAGCTTTTCCAACTTAAAATGGCAAGTAAAAATAATTTATAAGTAAGAAAAGTGAGCCTGATTTATCTGGATGGCTAAAATAAGATAATCTGCTGGAACTTTTCTATTTTGATTCTTTTTTATTTTCTGTTTGTACATTACTAAAACTCATATTAGAAAATACAGTTGTAATCAAACAGTGCGACATGAGCTTTTCACAAGTTCAGAAAATGGCCAGCACAGCTCATGTAAGGACGTACCCCCCCTCAGCCTTCCTTTTTTACTTCACTGATGGCAAAGCAAGGTAAGTATACGTGTCATTGGCCATCTTGATATTCAACATCCATTAGGATTTTTCTTCAGATGAATGCTGAAATAGAAAAAACGACTACCTTTACAGAAGTACTGGAGTAAGGGCTGATGGCTTAGAAGGCAGCAAAGGTCAATTCCTTGCCCAGTTTGTCTTGGGGACATAAATGCACAAGTCCGGGAAATCCACTCAATTACACATTCATACAGGGCATCTATATGTTTAACATCTTGCCAAAGGACACAGACGCAGACTGGAGGTGCATGGGATCCATCCATTGACTCTCTGGTTAGTGGATGACCCTCTCTACCTCCTGAACCAAAGCCACCCCCCCTCCCCAAGTTTAGTTCTGTGTAATGTATCTGGAAGAATGTCACACTGTCTTCATTTATCATTTTGGTGGTCTTGATGTAAAATCAACATAAAGACAAGATAATGAGACACAAATATATCTGTTGCCCAAAACCCATCATTGCACTCTCCTCCAGTTTCAGTTTTACCCAGGTGAGACAGGCTAAGCTTAATTTTTGTCAGCTCTTTATTTTCTCTTTGAGTCATCAGGTTTTGACATTATTCTTGGAGGGCTGCAATGATGCAAGTATCTCAATCGCTCCAGATAAAACAAAGACTTTGGCCCATTCCCTCCATCTTCCTTCCTCCATCCCCAATTGTATTGTGTTCAGCCTGTTTCCCTCTCCTCTCCTTCGTCTTTTGGCATATAGCTCACCGCATGAGGTCCTGGCCTGCAAGGCCTCAGGTTGTGGTAATGACACTGTTTTCACAAAACTGCCCTCTCAAGGCAGAATCAGCCCATATCAGGTTTCATACCATGGTCCATTGTGCTGGTGACTCATCAGAGCTAACACTGACTGTTTTTCCCTATGTTCATTGCTACAACATCTGGTGAACCTGCGGCCAAAGGACCAGAGCGTTGCGTACCACTCGCTGAGTTCACATGCTGCTAAACTGAGGTTATCATCTAAGAGGAGGGTTACAGCTAGAGACCAGCCATGAGAAATATTGGCAAGTGCATGCATCAGTCCCTTTTTTTGGTTTGTATTTTCCTGGACTCTAAACTGCCGAAGTACAAAAAGTACAAAACCACAACAGACTGATAAGAATGATCAGGGTAAATCCCTCACACGTAGCAATAGAAGATATAAGATCACATTCTGAGCTGCTTGCACACAGCAGCCGGATTTGTTCTAAAGTTTGATTTCTGTTTGCTTTCAGAACACAAACATCAAAATCAGCCATACAAACTGGACAGCGCTCAATGCCCATGGCAAAGATCAGCATCCTCATCAGCTGATGATCCAGAGAAGACAAAGATAAAACAGTTGTACTGTTTGTGTAGAGCAGGATAGAGCCAGTTGTTTTATAATACAGTGTTATTTATATATAAAGATAAAATACAGATGTCATTGGTTTTAACAAAACTTTTGGGCTGTTAATTGTATAGAAAATGATGCTTGGACAAACAATACGATAGTTAGGTTTACACCTAATGCCCACATCTTCAAATGCAGCCAAGCTTCACTTAATTCAGCTGGAAACATTAGCACTTACATACCAATCTAATAAAAACGACCTAAAATGACAGAAACCACCTTTACTATACATAATGTGTCACTAACATGGAGAAAGTTGTGTTTATGACCTATACTCCAGCCAGTCAACAGGTGGCCTTTAGGCCTGTTGAGAAGTTTAATGATTTAAAGGTCTGCGTTGCCTGGTTATGGTTGCCACAATATGATAAGACAATCATTGTTGGGGGGTTTAATGGTCCATTAATTTAACAAATCAATATAAATGTGTTTCAGCCAAAGGACACACGTTTGCCCTGTGCACCATTAATTAGTAATCACTTGCGATAAGGTCTATAAACCTCAAACATCTGTATAATCCTCTTCATCAATATCCAGGACACAACATACAAATATCGCCATGTTGTCTTACCCTCAATTTTCTGCTCAGTGTATCAGAAGGCAAGGTCAAAACACACAGCGATAAATTGTGATCAAAAGACGCAGCATAGCTCACGCTCTGTGGGATCCCACATGTAGTAATATCCTATAACTCAAGCAGTGCTGCTACTCTCTGTTGCCAGTAACTGTCACAGTGACTTAAACTTCTGGCTGAGTGGTCCAACAAATGCCTCTGCGCAGGAATATCCTGGAGAGAACAAAGAGTTTCAACATGAGCTGTGGCCCGATGCACACTGAATCAAGGTAAAGTGGCTGAGAGAGTTGCTAGTTTGAATCCATGCTGGGAGAGAATGTGTGGAGAAAGTCAATGTGTCATACTGACCTGGAGCATCTCTGAGCTGGATAAATGAAGGTGGACAAAACATCTGTATTTTATCACTGCAGGTATTTTTCTACTGAAGAAAACTCATCAATGAAAATATATAGTAACTACATTCAAAAATCTATTGTAGATACATTGTGTTGTTATTTATGTGCATGAGCCAAAAATGTGTAGTGCATATTTATATACTTTACAAGGTTTGGCAATGCAGAATTAAATATAATTAAATAAATGTTAAATATATATTTCTTTTTGATTTAACTATCATCACAAACTGCTGATGAACAAATTCATTATTTTTTCTGCTGTTAACTGTACAAGAAAACCTCTGCATTATTCAAATATTAAGGTAGGTCTGTCACAATAACAAACATTGCTGGACAATATTTTATCCCAGAAATGATTGCGATAAATGGTATTGTCATGATTGTGAAACCATTTTAAACCACTGATATAATGATATTATACCATGTACTATGTGGGTTTGACTCAGAACAATTTACAGTGATGTGTTTTAATAGTATTCTCAACAATGGAGTTTGTTTGTTTGTCCTCATCATGGAACAATATAGAATCATGAGAAATACCTGTAGTTAGCTTTCAGAGTAGCACTGCCTCTTGGAAAACATGTGTATAAATACCTCTTTTAATCCTCAACTTCATCTCTCAAAATAATTCTTCATGAGGACTGAGCCAAAGACCAGAGGGAGCCCAGTTAGCATGGAGTAAAAAAGTGATGGTTACAGCTACATTGTGCGTCTCTCAAGGCCTACTGTGCACCTATCCAAACAATATCAGTGGATCCAGTTCAAGTTCACGAGATGACTTCACTTATTCCTTTCCAAATCAAGCTTATTGATATCAAAGACAGAACCAA